CTGGATCGACGAGGTGGAATGGCCGTTCGGATTCGCAAGGGGAGGAGGAGGAGGAGGAGGAGGAGGAGGAGGAGGAGGAGGAGGAGGAGGAGAAGACGAGAACGACGAAGAGAGTGCTCAAGAGCTAGAGCCCCGAGTTGGGCTCTTACTAGAGCAAGGCTGGGTTGAGCTAAACTGCGCCTCCTCATCCCATTCCTCCTCTTCTCTCTTGTCCCCCTCTCCTCCCAGTCCCCCTTCTGCTCGGATTCCTTTGTCCCTCCTGTCCTCCTCCTTATCCTCGTTTCCTCCTGTCCTACTCCTCTTCCTGGCCCCCTGCCTCCTCCTCCCTCTGTCTCCCCCCCTCTCTGGCCCTTGGCCTCCTCCCCTTGGCCTCCTCCTCATGCCCTACTTCTCCTCCTTCCTCCTCCTCGACCTGGGCTGGCGGCCGATCACCGCCACTGAGTGGCGACGGCCAGTAGGCGATTCCAATGTCCCGGCAACGAGCGTCGCAGCAAACGCCATGAGAGCGCTTCCGGATACACCCAGTTACACCCAGTTACACCCAGTTACACCTAGTTACACCTAGTTACACCTAGTTACACCTAGTTACGCCCAGTTACACCTAGTTACACCTAGTTACGCCCAGTTACACCTAGTTACGCCCAGTTACACCTAGTTACTTCTAGTTACACCTAGTTACACCTAGTTACACCTAGTTACCCTCAGTTTCCCTCAGCTACCCGAGTTAAGGCATGACGCAATCAGTCTGAATCGGAGTGCAGGCATTCGAACCTGGAACCTCGGTCCTCGATCCTCGCCTCGGTCATCGATCCTATCCTCGGTCCTCGATCCTGGCTTCATTTTTCAAGACAACCTCGCCGACACATCGGCGATACATCGGCGATACATCGCCGATGCATCGGCGACATCGGCGATGCATCGACGACGCCAGCGCGGAGAAAATCGAGCTCCACATCGGGCCGCATCGCCGATGCATCGACGATGCGGCGCGATCCTCCAACCCCATCTGCTCGGACCCAGGGGGGCCAGGAAGAGGGGGTGGTGCGCACTGGGGCCAAAAGCATGGGGCGCGGACGAGCGGGGGCCTTGGAGCGTGTGGTACAAAGAAGCAGAAGAAGAATAACAAAAAGGATCATAATAATAATGATGATAATAATAATAATGTCAATAATAATGGTAAGAGTGATAAGAATGATACGAATTATACGAAAATAGTGATTATACTCATAATCCCATGATCATAGACATCACAACCTCTGATAATACGTATAGAAAAATACATATGATACGAATAGGAATGCGAATACGAATGCGAGTACAAATACGAATGCGAAGAGCAAGCATGAAAACAAGAAAACAATACCAAATACAACATAACAAGAAACAATGGTAACCATGAGTGTTATGACGAAGAGGGCGAATAATACGAATAAGAAAATAATAAGAATGTACATATAGGAAAACATGATGGACCCACGAACCCGGAAAGGGATATAGACATGTGCAGCATGGTCACGTTTTCACGATATCCAACTGGGCGACACCTCACGAAACATCCCACGAGACACCCCGCGAAACATCCCAGGAGACACCTCACGAAACAACCCACGAGACACCTCACGAAACATTCCACGAGACACCCCGTGAAACATTCCACGAGACACCCCACGAACAGGCAACCACTCAACCAGACACCCCACGAAACATTCCACGGGGGTGCGACTGGGTGTGGTCGTGCTGGGGTGTGGTCGTGCTGGAGTATGGTCGTGTTGGGGTGTGGTCGTGCTGGGGTGTGGTCGTGCTGGGGGGTGGTCGTGCTGGGGGGTGGTCGTGCTAGGGGGGTGGTCGTGCTGGGGGGTGGTCGTGCTGGGGCGTGGTCGTGCTGGGGCGTGGTCGTGCTGGGGCGTGGTCGTGCTGGGGTGTGGTCGTGCTGTGGTGAGGTCGTGCTGGGGTGTGGTCGTGCTGGGGTGTGGTCTTGCTGGGGTGGGGTCGTGCTGGGGTGTGGTCGTGCTGGGGTGTGGTCGTGCTGGGGGGTGGTCGTGCTGTGGTGGGGTCGTGCTGGGGTGGGGTCGTGCTGGGGTGTGGTCGTGCTGGGGTGTGGTCGTGCTGGGGTGTGGTCGTGCTATGTCGTGCTGGGGTGGGGTCGTGCTGGGGTGTGTCGTGCTGTTGGTCGGCTGGGTGTGGTCGTGGGGTGGGGTCGTGCTGGGGTGGGGTCGTGCTGGGGTGGGGTCGTGCTGGGGTGTGGTCGTGCTGGGGTGTGGTCGTGCTGGGGTGTGGTCGTGCTGGTGCTGGGTGTGGTCGTGCTGGGGTGTGGTCGTGCTGGGGTGTGGTCGTGCTGGGGTGTGGTCGTGCTGGGGTGTGGTCGTGCAGGCAACCACTCAACCAAGGCGGTGTGCTCGTGCTGGGGAGTGGTCGTGCTGGGGGGTGGGCGTGCTGGGGGGTGGTCGTGCTGCGGTGTGGTCGTGCTGGGGGGGTGGTCGTGCTGGGGTGGGGTCGTGCTGGGGCGTGGTGGTGCTGGGGCGTGGTCGTGCTGGGGCGTGGTCGTGCTGGGGCGTGGTCGTGCTGGGGTGTGAGGTCGTGCTGGGGTGTGGTCGTGCTGGGGTGTGGTCTTGCTGCGGTGGGGTCCTGCTGGGATGTGGTCGTGCTGGGGTGTGGTCCTGCTGGGGTGTGGTCGTGCTGGGGTGGGGTCGTGCTTGGGTGGGGTCGGGCTGGGGTGTGGTCGTTCTGGGGTGTGGTCGTGCTGGGGTGTGGTCGGGCTGGGGTGGGGTCGTGCTGGGTCGGGGTCGTGCTGGGGTGTGGTCGTGCTGAAGTGTGGTCGTGTTGGGGTGTGGTCGTGCTGGGGCGTGGTCGTGCTGGGGTGGGGTCGTGCTGGAGTGGGGTCGTGCTGGGGTGTGGTCGTGCTGGGGTGGTCCGCACCCTGTGACTTATCGATCGGGTAGTGCTGGGGTGTGGTCGTGCTGGTGCTGGGGTGTGGTCGTGCTGGGGTGTGGTCGTGCTGGGGTGTGGTCGTGCTGAGGTGTGTTCGTGCTGGGGTGTGGTCGTGCTGGGGCGTGGTCGTGCTGGGCGTGGTCGTGCTGATGTGTGGTCATGCTGTGGTGAGGTCGTGCTGGGGTGTGGTCGTGCTGGGGTGTGGTCTTCCTGGGGTGGGGCCGTGCTGGGGTGTGGTCGTGCTGGGGGGTGGTCGTGCTGGGGGGTGGTCGTGCTGGGGGAGTGGTCGTGCTGGGAGGTGGTCCTCAGAATTCTATAACACAAAACAAGCGTTTCGCTCGAGACATCCTCACCATTTTCTGAAAAACAAGCGTTTCGCTCGAGACATCCTCAAATTTTAATTCGCCGGCCTCCTTCGACCTCGTTATTTATCAGGGAAAAAATTCGCCGGCCTCCTTCAAGCAGGCACCGGGGGACATGTTTACATACTAAAAGAGAACCCTAGGCTTAAGCCCTTTCCGGGAATAAAAAGAAGAAGAAGAAGAAGAAGAAGAAGCGGAAGAGGAATAAGAAGAAGACGAACATGATGGACCCACGAACCCGGAAAGGGATATAGACATGCGCAGCATGGTCACGTTTTCACGATACCCAACTGGGCGACATCTCACAAAACATCCCACGAGACACCCCGCGAAACATCCCACGAGACACCTCGCGAAACATTCCACGAGACACCTCGCGAAACGTTCCACGAGACACCCCGCGAAACATTCCACGAGACACCCCACGAAACATTCCACGAGACACCCCACGAAACATTCCACGGGGGTGCGACTGGGTGTGGTCGTGCTGGGGTGTGGTCGTGCTGGGGTGTGGTCGTGCTGGGGGGGTGGTCGTGCTGGGGGTGGTCGTGCTGGGGGGGTGGTCGTGCTGGGAGGTGGTCGTGCTGGGGAGTGGTCGTGCTGGGGCGTGGTCGTGCTGGGGCGTGATCGTGCTGGGGAGTGGTCGTGCTGTGGTGAGGTCATGCTGGAGTGTGGTCGTGCTGGGGTGTGGTCTTGCTGGGGTGCGTCCGTGCTGGGGGTGGAAGGTCGAGGGCTGGGTGCCGGGTGGGGTCCTGCGGTGGTGTGGTCGTGCTGGGGTGTGTCGTGCTGGGGTGGTGTCGTTCTTGGGTAGGGTCGAGCTGGGGTGTGGTCGTGCTGGGGTGTGGTCGTGCTGGGGTGTGGTCGTGCTAGGGTGGGGTCGTGCTGGGGTTGGGTCGTGCTGGGGTGTGGTCGTGCTGGGGTGTGGTCGTGCTGGGGTGTGGTCGTGCTGGGGCGTGGTCGTGCTGGGGTGGGGTCGTGCTGGGGTGGGGTCGTGCTGGGAGGTGGTCGTGCTGGGGCGTGGTCGTGCTGGGGCGTGGTCGTGCTGGGGCGTGGTCGTGCTGGGGTGTGGTCGTGCTGTGGTGAGGTCGTGCTGGGGTGTGGTCGTGCTGGGGTGTGGTCTTGCTGGGTGGGGTCGTGCTGGGGTGTGGTCGTGCTGGGGTGGGGTCCTGCTGGGGTGTGGTCGTGCTGGGGTGTGGTCGTGCTGGGGTGGGGTCGTGCTGGGGTGGGGTCGTGCTGGGGTGTGGTCGTCTGGGGTGTATCGTGCTGGGGTGTGGTCGTGCTAGGGTGGGGTCGTGCTGGGGTGGGGTCGTGCTGGGGTGTGGTCGTGCTGGGGAGTGGTCGTGCTGGGGTGTGGTCGTGCTGGGGGGTGGTCGTGCTGGGGGGTGGTCGTGCTGGGGGGGTGGTCGTGCTGGGAGGTGGTCCTCAGAATTCAGGTCCCCAGGAGAGGACAATCTATAACACAAAACAAGCGTTTCGCTCGAGACATCCTCACCATTTTCTGAAAAACAAGCGTTTCGCTCGAGACATCCTCAAATTTTAATTCGCGGGCGCTCAAAAACAAGCGTTTCGCTCGAGACATCCTCAAATTTTAATTCGCGGGCTCGTTATTTATCAGGGAAAAATTCGCCGGCCTCCTTCGACCTCGTTATTTATCAGGGAAAAAATTCGCCGGCCTCCTTCAAGCAGGCACCGGGGGATTAGGTTTACCAA